GAACCCGAACCCGAACCCGAACCCGAACCCGAACCCGAACCCGAACCCGAACCCGAACCCGAACCCCCGAAACCGAACCCTAACCCGAACCCCCCCCGGAAACCCGAACCCGAACCCCCCCCCCCCCCCCCCCCGGCCACAAAAAAAAAAACGGGCCCACCGAGCGGCCTTGGCTCGAATCCAAGAACAAACCCCCCGAACCCGACCCCACCCCCCCCCCCCCCCCCACCCTAATAAAAGAAGAAAAAGGCCCGAAACCCGAACCCGAACCCCGAACCGAACCTCCCCCCCACCCCCCGAACCAGAACCCGAACAAACCCCTGAACGACCCACCCCCCCCCCCCCACAAAGAAAAAGGGCCCGAACCCGAACCCGACCTCGAACCCGAACCCGAACCCGAACCACCCCCCCCCCCCCCACCCGCCCGAACCCGAACCCGAACCCGAACCCGAACCCGAACCCGAACCCGAACCCGAACCCGACCCCCTCTCCCCCCAACCCCCCAACCCCCCAACCCCCCAACCCCCCAACCCCCCAACCCCCCAACCCCCCAACCCCCCAACCCCCCACCCCCAACCCAACCCCCCAACCCCCCAACCCCCCAACCCCCCAACCCCCCAACCCCCCAACCCCCCAACCCCCCAACCTCCCAACCTCCCAACCTCCGAACCCGAACCCGAACTCGAACCCGAACCCGAACCCCCCCTCCCCCCTCAAAAAAAAAAGGCCCGAACCCGAACCCGAACCCGAACCCGAACCCGAACCCGAACCCGAACCCGAACCCCCCCGCCCCCACCCTCCCGAACCCGAACCCGAACCCGAACCAGAACCCCCCCCTCCCAAAAAAACAGTGGGCCGAACCCGAACCCTCCATGATAGAACTGGGGCGCAGCCGCCCCTGATAGAACTGTACAACAACGACAAAGAACGTCTGGCTCCGCCAAACATAGCGGGGGGGTTGAGCGGGGCAGCCTCCCCCCATGGTAGAACTGAACAAGAACGACGAAGAACGCCGGGCTCCGCCAAACAGAGGCGGGGGCGTTGGGGGGGGCGCAGCTCGCTAAACATAGGCGGGGGGGTTGGGGGGGCGCAGCCATGATAGAACTGAACAAGAACGACGAAGAACGTCGGGCTTCGCCAAAGAGGGGGGGATTGGGCGGGGCGCAGCCCGCCAAACATAGGCGGGGGGGCTGGGGGGGGCGCAGCCCCCCCCATGATAGAGCTGAACAAGAACGACCAAGAACGTCTGGCTCCGCCAAACAAAGGCGGAGGGGGTTGGGGGGGGCGCAGCCCCCGTCAAACATAGGCGGGGGCGTTGGGGGGGGGGCGCAGCTCGCCAAACATAGGCGGGGGGGGTGGGGGGTGCGCCCCCCCCATGATAGAACTGAACAAGAACGACCAAGAACGTCTGGCTCCGCCAAACATAGCGAGGGGGTTGGGGGGGGCTGCGGGCCCCCATGATAGAACTGAACAAGAACGACGAAGAACGTCGAGCTGGGGGGGTTGGGCGGGGCGCAGCCTCCCCCCATGATAGAACTGAACAAGAACGACGAAGAACGCCGGGCTCCGCCAAACAGAGGCGGGGGGGGCGCAGCCCGCCAAACATAGGCGGGGGGAAACATAGGCGGGGGGGTTGGGGGGGGCGCAGCCCTCCCCATGATAGAACTGAACAAGAACGACCAAGAACGTCGGGCTTCGCAAAACAGCGGCGGGGGGGTTGGGCGGGGCGCAGCCTCCCCCATGATAGAATTGAACAAGAAGGACGAAGAACGCCGGGCTCCGCCAAACAGAGGCGGGGGGGTTGGGGGGGCGCAGCCCGGGATTGGGCGGGGCGCAGCCCGCCAAACATCGGCGGGGGCTGGGGGGGGCGCAGCCCCCCCCATGATAGAGCTGAACAAGAACGACCAAGAACGTCTGGCTCCGCCAAACAAAGGCGGGAGGGTTGGGGGGGGCGCAGCCCCCCCCATGATAGAAACGACTAAGAACGTCTGGCTCCGCCAAACATAGGCGAGCTATCAAAAAAATATTTCTTTGCGGGCGTGAGGTTCGTTCAAACAACATAAATCGTGGCAGTCTGTTCGGTTTCTCATGGTGTACCTTGGTTGGTCTACTTTTTTGTCGTTCGTCTGAACCTTTGGGCATTTTTCGGGTTGGTTCGGGTTCGGGCTCGGTTCGGGTTCGGGGCCGGGCCGCTTGGTGGGGGGGGGGGGGGGGGGGTGCTACGTGTTCGGATGATGCTGTGCATCTTTTTTTATGATGGGGGGGCGGGGGGGGGGTTCCCCACATCCCGAGCCCAACGAACTCCGAACAGCCGTCCCAAGAAAAATCCGCCAACAAAAAGAACCCAGAATCCCGAACCCGAACCCGAACACCGAACCCGAACCCGAACCCGAACCCGAAACCCCCCCCCCCCCCAAGAACCCGGCCCCGCACCCGAACCCGAACCCGAACCGGAACCCCTCTCCCCCCCCCCCACAAAAAAGAAGCCCCCCCCACAAAAAAGAAGCCCAACCCGAACCCGAACCCGAACCCGAACCCGAACCTCCCCCCCCCCCCCAAGCGGCCCGGCCCAGAGCCCGAACCCGAACCCGAACCCGAACCCGAACCCGAACCCGAACCCGAACCCCCCCCCCCGCCAAAAAAAAGAAGCCAAAAACGCAAACCCGAAACCGTACCCGAACCCGAAACCCGAACCTCCCCCCCCCCCCCCCCCAAGCAGCGTCCCCCAAGCCCGAACACCGAACCCGAACCCGAACCCGAACCCGAGACCCCCCAAAATAGCCGAACACCCCCCCCCCGCCCCCCAACTAACACCCCCCCGCAAAAATAAGAAGCCCAAAACGCAAACCGAGAACCCCGAACTCCGAACCCAACACCCGAACCTCCCCCTCGCTCCCGAACCCGAACCCGAACCTCCCCCCCCGCCCCAAGCGGCCCGGCCCAGAGCCCGAACCCGAACCCGAACCCGAACCCCCGAACCCGAACCCGAACCCGAACCCGAACCCGAACCCCCCCCCCCCCCCAAAGAACCCGGCCCCCTGTTTGGAGGGGGGGGGGTCTCCAAGCTCTGGCAGGCGCCAAAGGCGGACCCTGCCTGGTGGTCCTTCTTCGAGGACCGTGCCGGCGCTGAGGGTCAGGGCAAGAACTTCCTGAACCCCACCGAGTGGCGTCTTGGACGCGACGGACCGTGGCGGTCATTCTGTGGGGATGGGCCAGGGATGGGGCAGGGGGAGGCGGGGGGGGGGGGGATGGGATTGCTTGCTTGAACCATTTTTTTGTCGTTGTTGCACTCTATAGAATGGGGTCATAGGAGTGCTTGCTTGAATCTGTGTTTTGTTGTTGCACTCTACGGGATGGGGGTGGGGACTGCTGAATCTTTTTTGTTTGGTTGTTGAACGATGGGGGTGATTTGGGTGTGTCTTTTTTTAGGGGTACCACCTAAAAAATGTGGTTTTCCCGGTGGTTCCCAGTAAAACCCACTCAAGTGGGGTATTTGTTCATTGGGAGCCGAATCCTCGTCACAAGGGGCATGCATTTGCCATGAGTTAGTCCGGTGAATGTCTCGATTGTCTTAAGTGGGAGGACACTTGATGCAGCTAAAGGTTTGGGGGTCTCATGTTTTGACATTCAAGTTGACAGTGACCACCGAAACCAATGTCAAAACTGGCCATTTTTCAACTTGACTGACACAGTTTAATATGTTGACATTTGAATCGAAGCATGATTCAGGGCGGTGTAAAGTGGTGCACTGCAGTTCCTCATGCGGCAAGTTGCTGGAGCCAATTGCCTTTATGTTGCTTTGCTTTCCACACAGTTGGTCGCCACCCCGTTTTTCAAGCACTAGGCTTTTCAGCCAGCGGAATCACGATTCTGAGGGCCACATGGCAGTTGATTCCCTTTTGGAATTGTTTCTCTCTGGTTGCAGGTTGGGATGCCCGCACCAAACACCGTCTTGCGGTCTCAACACTACATCTGGGGGCGAGGGGTTCTTTGAACCGCCACTCACGCGCGCGGGTTTTCTCCTTTGCTCTTGTCAAGTTTAGGGAAATGGACAGGAAACCCGCCATCTGCGGCGGCACTCACATTTTTTCGATACATCAGAGTGCCAGAAGGTATCTTTGTGTTGAGGGTGTCACTTGTATGCAGCTTCCTGGCTAGGAACTATTTGGTGTACCTGGCTGGGGCTCTGGCGGTCCTGACCAGCCTGGTCTTTGCTTACAAGATGTCGCCCTGGGGCCGGGGTTTCTGAGCGAATTTTCAGGGAGCCCGACGGGAGCCCGAAAAATTGTCATGAACCTCATAAAGCCGTATGTGCAAGGGAATCTCCTTTTGAGTTAGACACCGTTTTTGGGTTCCCCGTTATTCTGCACGAGAACCCATGCTTGCATCAGCTGGCACATGAACCTCTCTCTCTCTCTCTCCCTCGCTATGGGTCAGACATTTTGACCCCAGCCCCCCGTGTAGTTCGTTTCCACGCAGTTTGCCGGGGAGTGTATTGTGGCTTGCGAGCAGAGAAGAGAACGAGCATGCGCCGCGGATTGTTAGTCCCCATCGACCCCCTATTCGAGGTGCCGGTATCACGCGTGAGTTTTGAAGGTGCATGCGACATATTTGCCAAAGTCTGGCTTGACCACATCTTGGCACAGAACTAACCTGCCCAGCCCGTTTTTATCCTTTCTTTGGGTAATGGTTCCCTTTAAAGTCAACCAAGCCCCCAAAGCATGCCCTTTTTCCCCATGGACTGGGCTTCTGAGCCAAAGGTGTGGGCACGGAGAAACATGAACCCCAGCGGCCTGCTATCTGCCCCCAGAAGGCTACAGCTGACTCTTGCTACTCAGGCCTAGGATTTCTTGACACTTGCACCCAAAGCGAATCGGCCTTTGACCTGTTGGTTTCCCTGATTTGGCCCATATTCACTCAAGGTTCCAGGGGGTGAACCTTTCATTTCCAGGTCCTTTGGGCAAGTGAGCCGAAAAAGCGGCGCAAGTTTTGTGAGCCTGTCCTCGCGGGACATACGATTCATTCCTTTCTCCAGGCCCCTCGGCCGGATTTGACGAGCCGGATTGTGCGAACTTATCGGGGTGCCGGCCAGTTAAGGCGCCAACTGTTCATGTCGTGTTTGGCGGGTTACCCATGGTTACCCCCTTTTTGGTTTCTTAGTTCCTCATTTGCAGTATCCAAAGAAGCCTCCCGTTGACGCTAACAGAACCTGTTCCCAACCAAGAATCATATTTTTTCACAGGATCGAAATCTCAGGCCTCGGGGACATGTTCTTGACCTTTGCATTTTGCTCAAGCTGGACGGGGTGATGCGCGCCTGGGGTTAAGTGCCGGAGACTCAAGGGCGCTTCCCCCCTTGCCTTGGAAGTGGAAGTAAACACGGGGGGAAGCCCCAAACCGGCAAACTGTTGCTAACCCTTAGCCTTGTCAGCGCCCATGGAGGATGAGGAACCCTGGTCGACTCTGAGTGTCCAATTCGGCGTGGAGACTCTTGTTGAAAACCAGCAATCCACCAGGTTCGACCCAAATCCGGGCTTCCGTTGGAAGCATAAAGGTCCCAAGGGACTGGCAGCCAGTGGAGTTGTTTTTGGGCTAAAAGAACGCCTGAACCTGTGCTCAGGGCGCGCATCCCATGCATGCTGCGGCCTCAGAGCCAACTTCTGTGCAGGCGAACTGCCCACCCATATTTTCCGGGTTAGCCTCTAACAGGTAGCTTGACCCACCTCTTCAGAAGGTATAGATGTCAGCTCTTTAGGTGCAACAATCCCAACATGTCTCCGCATGGTCGCGTGCCAGGAACGGCCACGTTTCACCCACGGAAAGCTTTTCCTTGCCGCACAGCACCGGTCCATTCCGGACTCGGATCCAGGACAGCCGCTATGGCCGGACACGAAGCTGAGGACGCACAACCTGTTGCTTCCTTGGCCGGCTTTTTCCGGAATGAGCACAAAGGGCCTTCTTCTCCCTTGGGGGCCACCGGAGAGTCCCTGGTAGCACAAGCCACTGTTGTTGTCCGCCCTAAGTAATGTTGGCTCCTGATTTGGCGGCCGTTAGCCAACCATACTCGGTTCCTGGCACCCCATATGGCCGCCGAACCCAACCCCCGTATTTGGAAAACATTGCCCGCATTGCCATTTTTGGTGGGCCAGGTCTGTATACGGCCGGGATGAAATCCGTATTTTTCAGCATGGAACAAAGGCAAAGGAATTGGCATATCCAGATTTTGGTGATTTTGGTGTTTGACCCAAAGCAGGCCATATGGGTCGCCAGCAATCTTCACGTGAGACTGGCGTGTGTGTGTGTGTGTGTGTGTGTGTGTGTTGGAATCATAACTTATCAGAGCCAGGAGTTGGCGTACCAACCAGGAAGATCAATATTCAAGAGCGAGGCGAAACATATCTGTGTTTTGACCCACCATTTACAGCACATTCTCGCGAGAGACCAACATAGCCCTGTCAACTTCATAAAGTCGGCCCGGACTTCCAGGGCATGAGTCTGCGCAGATGAACGTCGACGAAGGATGCCAGCATGAAGGTCAAAGTGCAGCATGTTGGCAAGTCCCATGTTGAACAACCAGGGAACACACCGACAGGATGCCGGGCAAGGAAGCCTAGCCAGAAGCCCCAAGGTGTCATCTTGACTGCTATTGGGTTGGATCTTTAGACTTTAACTTTTTGGGAAATAAAGGGGTTTTCCACTAAACCCGCAAAAGGTTAAACTTTTTGCAGGGGGGTCAACAGCAACCAAGTCATTTTTGCCAAGCAAAACCATCTGATCCTTAGCCCTTTCTCTCCAATCCGCTTGGCATGCGGAGGGCCAAATTCTGCCGCATCGCACCTACCTCCTACACACACACACACCACGATTGAAAGTGTGTCTCTGACAAATTCCCGGGGCCAGGCCTCTGAACTGGGAGATGACTTTGGACGTGGCCAGCGTTTGGCGGGCGCCCGAGATGTGAAGACTCGACTCACGAGTCGAGGCGTCTGTGGACAGAATCCATGTCGCACCACCTCAGAAACCTTGGAATGAGTTGATCCCCCCTGTAATTAGATACCAAGAAACCCTGTAATGGCTGCCAATGGTTTCATTTCGTGCGAGCAAAGTTTGCAACCATCCAGAGTTCATTGAGAAGGTGGCAAATAGGCTCCTAGGCCCTTGGGACCTTGGCAAAAATGGCGCTTTTGTTTGGCCAGTGCCACTTGGAAGTGAATAGGTCTGACGGAATGATCCATTTGGAGTTTGGGTTCCCATGGCTGCCCGCTGGGCAAGGTGTCTTCATGGATAATGCCAGCCTGGCTACAGGAAGTTTATGTCAGGCTTTCTTCCGGACCTCAGGCCTAGCTACAGAAGTTGTGAGGGGCAAGAATTGGGCCGGGCTGGGCGCACCCGAGCCGTTCCCATGCGGGTGCCGCCTTTTTTGTTTTTCCGAAAAGGGGAGGCCAGAAGAGGCCGAAATCGACATGACACTGCACTCGCTGGGATTTGTTGAAGCTGTGCGCTTGGCTTCAAGGATGGCTTGCCTGAAGGGAAAGTTGCGCAAGCTGGCAAGGCAAGATTTGGTTCTACCGCAGATTTTGTGGCCAAAAGGCATAACCAGCCATTTCCCACCCCAAAGCCAAATCAAACATTCCTGGTGGCCTGCCTCGGTTTCGATTGAAAACCGAAAGCAAGCCACGGAGTCTAGGATCTGCGGGGCAAGCACGAGGCATGTGGGTATGTTTGTCAAATGAGGATGAGGGGCCCCCCCGTAAACAAAAATTGAGTCGTGTTCCTTTTTGGGGCTTCCCTCACCAGCCTGACGTTTTGGGGCTTCCCCACCAGCCTCAAACCCGAAAAAGTAGACTCAACCAAACGCACAGAAGCCCGTCCCGTCCCCGAGCTTTCCGAAGGCACAGCTCGCAGCGGCGCTGATGAAGCACTCGCGCACACAGGACCCGAACGGGGTTTTTCCGGCCTTGGCTTCGTGAAGTCCGGCGGAAGACTTCGGAGGTACCTCAGGACCCCTCTCAACGACCTTCAAACGGTAATGGGGGCTTCACCCGTCTAGGGTCTGGGAAAACAAGGCGTCTTCAATCAGAGGGAGGTTATTGATAAAGATGTCGACATTATTTGGACGGGGTATGCTGGCCTTGTCCTTTCCCTTGCCCAAAGGTGAGGGATCCAGGTTGAACACTCTCACAAGTCATCCCGGATCAGAATGAAGGCCGTGTGCCTCTTAGTTTTGTCCTTCCGGGGCTTGGGGTTGCAGAGCATCGCATGTTCTTACGTGAGCTTGAAGTTAACCGGTTCCTACTGGACACTTGCTGGACATGCTCTTACCTCTTAAAAAACACAACTGTTCAACTTATTGGGTAACGTGGGCTATATGTCTGTAAAAGATTCACTTCCCCAGGGCTTGGAGTTTTAAGGGGTAAGTGCTTGTAAAATGCTCCATGGGCCCAATTTCAGTCGCGGAAGGTTGCCAGAAGCTTTGCAGAACTCGCCTCGCAGAAGCTTTTCCGGAAGGTTGTGGGCTGAATTGGCCACCGGCTTGTCGCCCGATCCTTGAGAACTGCGGGCGCAGACATCAAACATCATCAACACGTGGCCGTGAACGCCCGCGGATGCAACACAAACATTCTTACGGAAAGGAACATAGTTGCCAGATTGACTATTGCATGCAATTGACAAAATCAGAGGAGAAAGAGAGAGAGAGAGAGAGAGAGAGAGAGCAAAACTTCCGTGGACACGAAGGATGCGCACTGACAACTGAGCGCAAATCTCCCTCATGACTGGATTCCCGACATAATTATACAGATACATGCATTTTCTGTCATGTGCAGTTTGTCGCTCCTGCGGCTCCTGTGCATTGCAGTTTGTCGGACCACTCTTGGTTTCTGTTTGGTTCAAGCGCCACTCCGGATTTTCCTCTCTCGAAAGAGACGCCCATTGCGAATGCGATCAACGGATCGACATATGGGTGTGTCTTTTTCAGGGGACCCACGGCATGGAGGTTTCCAAGGTCCCCCCAGTAGTGCCCTTTGACCATTGTGTTTTTGTTTTTTGGGGGAGGGTTCCCCTGCTAAAGCAGACAAGGAGAAAAGTGGGTAGCCTTCTATCCTCTCCACTGGACCCAGTTTCCTCTTTGGCCGCATAAGACTCACCAAAACCAAGCAGACCCCTCCCTTTCGCAGGCCAAGGGCCTGGAGTTCCTACAGAAGCCCAGCTTGTTGCCCGAGGGCTTCCCTAGCTGCCGGGAGCTCAAGGTCAGAGGGCGCTCAAGGTCCGTGGAATCAATCAATCCCCTTGGATCGTTGCTGAATTGAGTTTTTGTGTTTTTATTTTTTGGGCTATGTGGGCATGGGGAGGTCTCCCTGCTGATTTCCCTTGAAACCAATGAATTGAGGTCTCTAGGGCATGTGTCGGGAGGAGTGTGGGGGGGTTTTGTTGATTTCCATGTAAACCAGCCCTTTTGCATTGAAGAAACACAGCCTCATGTGCGCCTGGAAGCGATACTAGATTGCATACCGGATCGCGGTCAGCAATCAAACCCACAGATTTTTGGCCTTGCTTGTCGGGCCGGCCAAGGGACTCCCGAAGGAACTGGGACCCTATGGTTTACTAAATCGACCGCGCCGAGTTTCTGGCACTGACCTGGAAGACGCCTTCAAGCGCTGCGCCTGCCGGACACAGTTTGGAGATTTCGGGGGCTGAAAAGGGGTAGTCTGAACCAAGCCCAGTTGTTCAGTCGCTTTTTGCTGGGTGGCTTGTCGGACGATGGTCAACCCCAAGGGGTTCCCTTGCTCTAGGCCCTAGGCTGGGAGGCCGAGAGCCTTGACACGGACCGGGGCTGTTCAACGGTCATCGGCAAGATCCTCACCTTCACCAAAATCAAAACCACCACCGCCACCACCATCAACAACGACGACGACAACAACGACCAACAACAACAACCAGCCCCGGCCAACCAACCAACCAGCCAGCCAGCCAGCCAGCCAAGCTCCCCTTCTGGCGCCTCTATTGGGATGCCAAGCCTGCGTTTTGAACGTGGATGGGCGTGCTGAGGTACCTTTGGTGGGGGGGTCAGCGGGTCAGAAGCGGTGACAGGTGCCAATGTGGGAAAGGAACCAGGAGAAGGACATTGAAGAATTGGCGCCCTAGCTGGAATGGCCATGGCTTCTGGATTGGGGGGCAAGCAGCCCCAGAACTTGTCTGGGCTGACTGGTGACTGGCCATTGGCTTCTGATTTCCCGCAAGCAACCCCAGAATTCAATCCAATATAGACAGCGGCCACGTTTCTGGGCTGAAGGGCTCTCATGGCACATAGCGGCCGAATGGCTTCGGATTTGTTCCTCCGAGGTGCAAAGTGTCCAGGACAAGAGCGCCTCAACCATGGAGGCAGATGACCGGTTCCGGCACCTGCAGCAGAAGGCCTGGATGGTCCAAGGGTCGAAGCGGGCTTGGGAAGGTTATTCAAGCGGGGCTTTGCTGGGTTGCTGAGGGGCCGTGAGAACTTGACAAATTCGGGTATCACGTGCAGGCAACTCAGGCAACTGAGAATAAGAAGAGAGCTTTCCCACGCGCTGGTTGCTGGTTCAAGCATGAGCTGCGAAGGCAACGCACCCACAATTGAAAACTGTTGGAACGTGCAGCGCAGTTTGTCCATCGAGATGTTATTGGCTTCTTATTTTCTTGGCGTGCGCACAGATCAGTTTTTGTTGTAGTTGGGATGGGCACACATAGTTTATGATATATTCATAGGATATGATGGTATATGTGCACTATTTTGCAAATGTTGGGTGTGCTCCCTGCAAGCCCAAAAACAGGAAACATCCTACTAGAAGCGGAACTTGACACTGACAAGCAAGCTGCGACGCTTCGAAGCACTGCTGGCAACCCATGGCAACCCACTGGTAAAAAGAGGCGCAAGCAAACTGCGGTTCCGAGTCTCACCAGTCTCGCAAAAAAAGGTTCCGAGTCTCACCAGTCAACTCCACCGTTCGCACCATCCTCAAAAGCCCCAAGGGTACGCCCCCTGCCACCCCCCCCCCCCCCCAACCCACCACCCCGCCCCCCGCTCCTTTCTCCCCCCTTTCGATCGCCCGCGCAACCACCCACCACCTCCCCTGCCACCACCCCAGCGAGCAATGGAGCGGCGGCGCTTCCCGGCGCTGCTGCTGCCCAAGCCGCAGGTGGCGCGAGCGCTGGAGGCGAAGACGAACGGAACGAGAGAGGGCGAGGTCGGTTTGGCCTCCGTGGAATTGGACCCCCGGAGTAGTTTCTTGATGGTGCCCAGTGTGGGAATGAAGCGGAGGTCCCCTTAAAGGAAACAAACAAATCTTTTGGGGGGGGAGTCATGATTTGGGAGGGGAATCCCCCCCCATTCATGAATAGGACTGGTTTGCTTCATCCGGGGTCAACATTCGTTTGGGGAAGTTGGGAGCATGTGAGGCACCATGAGGCACCGAAATGGTCGATTGTCTCGTCCCTGATTTCCTCCCACAGAAATCTTCAATCAGCTGATCACCAGGTTGCCGCATTTGCGTATGCAACTTCTTGATCATTCTATACCCCGGCTGTTGGGAGGTGGTTTGGTTTGGTTTGGCACAATCTTGGACAGAGGTTCTGAAGCACCTATCGGAAACCGGGCCCGCGCAGAGTTGCAGCGATTTATGGCGTCCTTTTCTGAAAAAAACCCTCTCGGGCCCATTTAAAGGCGAAATAAAGGGGAAGCCGCGGTTGTTGAAGGCCTTGGCGGTTTCTCGAAGCAAAACCTTGAGAGATGTTGGAAAGGTCTCGGCAAACTATAACCTGCGAGTAAAGACGAGCTCACGCACAGCGATTTTTTAACCCGCATTTCCACAGTGTGCAGCACAGGAGTTTCTGGGTCAACATTGGCTAAGATCTTACAGCTCTGCCCTTGACTAAGATTCAGATGAACACCCAACCAACCAACCAACCAACCAGGCAGGCAGGCAGGCAGGCAGGCAGGCAAGCCGGCAAGCAGACCAGCAGGCAACATCCAAGCAACCAAGCAAGCAAGCAAGCAAGCAAGCAAGCAAGCAAGCAAGCAAGCAAGCAAGCAACCAAGCAACCAAGCAACCAAGCAACCAAGCAACCAAGCAACCAATCAACCAGCAAGCAATCAACCAGCAAGCAAGCAAGAAAGCAAGCAAGCAAGCAGCCAGCCAGGCAGGCAGGCAGCCAACCAACCAACCAACCAACCAACCAACCAACCAACCAACCAACCAACCAACCAACCAACCAACCAACACACCAACCCCACACATATATATATATAAATGTGAGTTAGGGGTTGGATGTTGGGGTTCGAGGGTCAGATTGAACATATGCTGGGACCAGCAATCGGCGATGTCTAATTATACAGGTAGGTTTAGCTATTTTAGTGGTATGCCACAGTGTAGTTTTGCATTGTGGCGTATTGTGGCTGTGATTTGGTGGTTAGCAAGGGGGGTCCCATCTACCCTAAAGCAATCCAAACCAACTAAGGGTTACCTGAAAAATGCGTCACAACCCCTTGGCATGGTTGCAAAGCAACTTAAAAGGAGACTCGCGGGGATCAAATGGGGAGTCATCCCACCTTTCAAATTGGGGGTCTCAACAAAATCAGGGCTGCCAACACTGGACCCCTCAACATCCTGCGTTCCCTGCAATCTTGTTGCACGCAACTGGCTTGCCAAAAGCCGACGCTTGCACTCTTCCTCGTAGATGTTCGGGCGAGAAGCTAAAGCATGCTTTAAGGCAAAGCGCAGACCGAACACATGAAAAGTGAAGACAAAAGACCTAGCTCCAACAGAAAGCGCTACGCAAATGGCTGAAGGCGGCTGTTTGCGAGATAGAAAGGTGTCACGCATGAAAGCTGCATGTTTTAATTGTCACCGATGCAGATTGTGTGTGTGAAGTATGGCTTTCTCCGTTTTTGGCGGAGAGCGTGTAGGAGCAGAACTCAGTTTCAGGAACTTGGTCACCCGGAGAATCCAAAACACCAAGTATCACCAAGTCAGTACGAGGGGTAAGGGGCCTCAGTTGCTCCTTGCCAAGCAACCCTACGAAGGGAAGGATGACCCCTACCCAATTCGAAGGAAGCCGTCCTTGTTGGTTTTTTGGCCACTGTCAATATGGCAGAGGCCTGCATGCGTTGCCTCACGAAGTGGATGCAACGACAGAGAGAGAGAGAGAGAGAGAAAGAGAGAGAGACCGAAGCTGAGTTTTGTCTCTTCTCAGGCCCTGAACTCCTGCGAGCCGCGCTGGGGCACTTTGCTGGCCAAGACGCTATCGCGAGGCGATCTATCGCTGCGTCGCTGCGTGCCGAGGGGCTTGGGAATGCTGCTGTTTGGCGAGTGGCACCGGGAATGTTCTTTGAAGCGGTAAGACAATCACGGTGGGGTTCCCCGGGCCCTTTCCCTGTGGGAATAGAACAGGTCGTGTTCCACGACGATGGGGTACATTGGACAAAGCAAACAACAGGAGCCAACTTCACCATACGTTGAGCAGGTCAGAGGCAAGTGAGAGTCAGGGCGAGCACTTGGCTTGTTCTTGGTTTGGCACGTCTTCCGTACAGTCCCATGCATGGGTTTACTGTGACCGGCCAATCCTTGCTCCCGCGGACGAGAACCTGGAGGGGGAGACAAGGCTTGTGACTCGAGCAAGGCGATGGCAACCTTTGAAGGGAAAAACGGCTCTCACAAAACTCTTGGCCCAGAAGTTGCACTTTTGACATGCAGGGAGCAGGGAGACCCCAAATGGGCCCATGCCAGCTTGTGAAGTGACGACGGGGGCACACATTCATGTCTGAGTCTTCGATGCCATGTAGAAAATGGTCGGAATGAATAGATCGCTAGCAGTGAGTCTGGTGTCGAATCTTTCCTGCCGTAGACCGTTTGGAAGAAACTGGCAGCAGCTCACATGATGCTGTGCCCCATGTTCTCGCGAGGCCAGTCTTGCAGCAAGGGGGTCCGCGCCTGAGGTGAGAGGAGCTCTGCCCAATCTCTCCCCTGTGAAAGAACGTGAAGCAACCAAGATTGATTTCTGCTCGAACCCCAAACTTGCTCGAGAGCAGTTAATTGCCGAGCCTCAGACCTTTTGGATGCCACGGCAGAGAGAGAGAGACAGAGAGAATCAATTGCAGACAAAGGCGCAACGTGTCGATTTGTGTATCGAACCAGGGTGGAGGCTTCCAAAAAGGCATGTGTGCGACACCCCATAGCCGAGCCAGGACGAGATGTTTGCACGTAGCAGGCTTCAAGTCCAATCGGAGAAGCAGAGCCGGCAAAGAGCAAACTTAAAGCTCGCAAGCTTACAAGAGCTACTCACCTGCAAGCAACTGCTGAAACGCATTCCGAAGATCAGGACACACCTCGCGTCATCGGGCACACAATTGGCCCAGGACGTCAACCTTCCCCGCGGGCTGTTTTAAGATTTCCCCCATATCTCCCCGTTTCGTTGATTGAAACAACACCTGGTGATGTTGAAGGGCAAATCCGAATGTCTCCTTTCGGGTAGCTAGTTGGGCAGTGGCAACCCCGCATTGTCCCTAGGATTGAGGTGATGTGTACAGGGGGCATCTAATCAAAACCAAATATTTTTCGAGCACCTTCCCACACCCCAGAGCTCAGAGGCTTCAGAATCGACCCTCATCACGCTGTGCTCCTGTCCTCAAGCAAAGTGAACCAAGTGAGTGATTCTCAAAACTACTTTTGGCGGTCTACCTTGAAATCGCCATAATTGCCGGACTGTACTGAGCTGTTGGCTGCTTGGCCCTTTTGAGCTTCCTCCACTTCCCATTTTCACCGGAGGGGTGTTTCTTGTTTGCAGACCGAATCTGTCTGACTGTTTGGCCAAACTTTTAAAGCTTGTTTTTGAGGATGTCAGTACGGGACTCAGTAGGGCAAAAGCCCTGCAGATTACCCCTTTCGATTTCAGACACGCTGAGGGGGTCCCCCTCTCTTCGATTTAATAAAGTAGTCTTGGAACACACAACCGAGTCTAATACACAAAAAAGCCATCCGTCCGTTTGGTTTCCCATGGTCGTCGCATGTTTGTCCCATGGTTTTCTTCGCAAGTGTGCAGGGAAGGTAGGCAGTACGTGGACAGCCCTTCCGGGTCGCTCCATCCATCCATCCATCCATCCATCCATCCATCCATCCATCCATCCATCCATCCATCCATCCATCCAATGTTATTCTCGTGGTGCCCCATGGTTTTCCCATGGATTTCCCATGGTTCTCCTATGTTTTCTCCTGGCTTTCTCATGGTTCTTCCATGGTTCTCCTATGATTTCCTCAGGTTTTCCCAGAGTTTTCCCAAGGTGCTCCTATGATTTCCCCGGGCTTTCTCATGGTTTTCCCATGGTTCTCCTATGATTTTCTCTGGTTTTCCGGTTCTCCTATGATTTCTCCTGGTTTTCCAATAGGTTTCCTCTGGTTTCACCCATTTCCGCAGGTGCACCTCGTGGATTACCTGGACGACTCGGAGCTGGCGCTGCGCGCCATCGAGCTCCCGGAGCCCTTGGCAAGCCTGGCAGCGCGGCACCTGGCAGGCGGCCGCGAAGTTCGGCGCCGGGCGTGGCGGTCGGTTTGTCCTAGGCCCCCCGGGTGGTGCCCTTTCTCACCCCCCTTTACAGAAATACCAACCGGAAAACACACCATTTTGGAGGGAGGGGTCCAACGCAAAAAAAAAAAGACTAGGTCCCCCAATGGTGCCCTTGTACTTTTTTTGGGTTGGAAGGGTGCCCCTACTCAAATAGACAAACCAGAAAAAAGTGGGTACCAACTTCTAACCTCTCTACTGGAGGACCTAGTTTTCCTAGGGCTGGTGTTTTACTAGGGCTGGTCCCCTGGTCATTTGCTGAAATGAATATGTTTTTGGTTTTTTCCCCTGTCGGCTTTTTCAGGGATCGACTTCACTACTGTTTGTATTTTGCCAGGGGACTTAAAGTGTTGCGTCTTTGCCCCAAGTTACTTTCGATAGGTAGAGAATGAGAAATGGAATGAACCTGGGGATTCTCAAAATAAAGGAAACTATCTCGGGGATGGTTTGTCTCAGGGTCATTCCATTTCCCATTGCCTGCTGAGCACCAGCAAGATTCGTCCTTTTACTCGACGGTTTCCCGTTGCGGCAGCCCCAAAACGGGCAACGCAGCATTCACACGCCCAAAAAGCCCACTGGAAGGAGAAAAACAGCAAGTCAGGTCGGGCGTGTCCCTCATGTTCCAGCTGACGTGCCTCCAATGCGACGAGCGCGAATCCCATTCGAGTCTCGCAAGGGAAGCCCAACAGAGATGGGCCCCGGCCGGCCATTCCTTTGTCTTCTTGTCTCGTTGGATGTCCCCTAGACATCAACTAGTGTGTTGACCCCGGATGAATAAACCCATCATCTCAATGTAGGGCGTGCAATCCCTCCAAAAGAGAGGCATCCCCACTAAACCCAACAAACACCGCATGAACTTGGGTTGATGAATCTGGGTTCCCATTGCAAGCCATCAGCAGCCAATCCTTTTGGCCACGAAGGGGCGCTGTGCCTTTCATTTTGTTCACAGAATCTGGCCGACCCCCCAAACAAGTCCCCAGTAGTGCCCTTTTACCCTTTTTGGGGGCAGGGTTCCCCTACTAAAATAGACTACAGAAAAAGAGTACCCTTATTCTAACCGCTCTACTGCCTATGTGAGCAAATGAGCGGTTCACGGTTTTGCTGGTGCCAGTTATCAGGAACATCGATCCCAAGCAAGGCCCAGCTGGGGCCTCATGCGCCAGGCCCCCCTTTTTGGGTTGGTGGAGGGAAGCCAAGGGGAAAGCCGAAACCATTTTGGCGTGAGGGTCCTAAGAAGACACAACCATATAGTCGCCTGGTGGTTGATTAGGTACCTGTTGGTTGGTTTGAATTGAGGCCAACAGGGAATGCACCCCCGCAACGTCCAGACCAGCAAACCAAACCACCACTTGTGGTGAGGTGGCACTAGTCCATTCCATGCGCTTAACCCGTACCTGCGCGCCAAGCAGTTGCAAGCCAAGCCCTCTTTTGTCCGCGAGATCGCAAGCGCGAGGCGAAGCAGAGCCATCGACTGTGGGCGCCTTGGTCCATGAGGTAGGGCTTGGCCCAACGGCGTAGTTGGGACCTGGGGCCTGAGTTGGCGGATTCTTTGGTGTGTTTCTGCTGGTGATTCCCTCATTTCAAAGTCGCCCTAGAGTCCCAATTGATGTGCCAGCTGTGCCCCAAACCCTGAACATTACCCTCGCAGCCACTCACTGCAGTCGTATCAAGGGTTCCTGTCAAGCAAGGCGAACAACCTGCGTCATCATGAGCCGCAGCAACAAATCGATCTTGCGTTTGGGGGTTGGGCTCTGCCATGGCCAGTGTTTTGGCTGACCACGGAGAAGCCTGATTCGTCGAGCGACATGGATGTAGGCACAGGGCAGGCTGGTCCCAGGACCGGAGCATGTTTTGCCAGCCTTTCGGCGCATACCAACCTTCATCGAAGCCAAGCAATCTGGCCGTTTTGACACTTTCATTTTTGCAGGCTGGGACCTGAGGCGAGCAGCCATTCGAGGCCACAAATGATGCACAACAGGTCGTGCGAACGTGTTGTCTACCAACTTCTGGCGGGGTTATTATGCATGGCGCTTTTTAGCTTTATGTCGGTTCCTCTACTCTTTCTTTGTTGTTGTCTTATTTTCGAGCGATTGGGCGGATTGAGCCAAAAAGCTGTGCGACTCCCAGGCCGATTGCTGGCGCAGGGCGCCAGGTTTGAGCCTTGCTTCCAGCAGCTGCCGGACTTGGAGGACCTGCACCCCTGCCCGCCGGCCCTGGTGGCGTCCACCCCTCCTTTGTGCCCAGCTGAGAGACGGAGCGAGGGACAGGAATCGAGTCGAGACGGGGGAGGAAACTGGCGAGAATCGTCTGGGCCGGCAAGGCGTCCAAATGACGTGGAAAAATATGGATGGGCTATTTTCGGTTGCACTCTTCCGATTTTTGGTCGTGCGCGATTGATTGGCCATGTCTTTGCCAACTACTTTGAGCTACTCACATGCGCCCCTCCCTGCCTCCAAATTTGGCAGCTTCCTTCCTCCAAGTTTAGCAGCAGGTTCTCCTTCGTTTGGTTGATAGCCTGCGTTTAGTCTGTGATTTGTCTCACCGACTTGGGTCCATCCATGGTGAAGAGAGGATCACCCTCCCATCCAGGTGCAGTCCCCCCTTTCCACGAAAGCCAAGCAACCAGTTGGTTGGTGGTTTAGATTGGTGGTTTGGGATTTGAACCCCTGGCTTTAGAGGGTAAATAGGAAACCCCTCAACCTCCAACCAAGTAGAGGGAAGCTGGCACAATTTGTTGGGCAAATTTGGGGAAAAACCATCCCACGAGCCGCGAGCCTGAAAGCGACAGATCCGCCGCCGGCGAGTTTCCCAGGCCTGCGATGAATGCGCCAGAAGATTTTGGCCAGGCGGGACCGCTGGACTGCTCGACACGGCTCGCTCCCAAGACTGCGAGCGTGTGCTCGGGGAAGGAGAAAAATGGAACTAGACCGTCCAAGTGGTGGCTTCCTGTAAGGGATTCCCTAGGTTCATTCCCAACACCCTGGGTCATTCCCTACTGAGCAAAATGCAGGATATGGAGCGCAGGTTGCTTTGGTTCTTGTTTCCGTTTACCAGGCAGCCAGTTTGGGGTTACCCTATTTTTGAGCCCCCCCCCCCGTCACACTCGACCTTCTTCACCTTCCTTTTCGTCTTCCCATTTCGGTCCGGGCCCCAAAAGCTTATGCTTTGTGGGACCTTTGGGCAAGTGAGCACAGAGAGTGTTGAACATACGAATGCCTTGACAAGCATCCTGCCCCTTGCGGTTTCGCAGTCGTGAGCCCGGGATTAGGTCCAAGCTGCCAGTGAACCCAAGGCTTCCTGAAAGGAATATGTGTTTGCATTTTCCCTTATTGCAGTTGAAAGCGAGTCTAGCACTACTGGAAATACGCTTATTTCTTCCAGGCGGCTTAAGCAAATGGAAGAAGGAGAGTCTACTTGGATTTCTTCCAGATTCTCCGTACCTAGTACGAAACCAAGCAGCGAAGTAGCGCCGAGCAGCTCACCCAGAAACACTCCAATAGCACTGCAAGCCAATGAAAAATGTTGAGATTCAAACCGCCGCTTCTACCATCTCCAGCCAAACGACCTCTTCCCGGGAGCAAAGAGCTGCTCTCCCTCCGGCACCTATTTGTGGACTGTGCATCTACAGTTGTTTGCACATACTCACATTTAGACCATGTGCGGAAGAAAATGCATCGTCAAGTCTATACATGTTCTATGTTTAGCCTGAGGCAATGTCCTCACTCATTTGTTGTGTTTTCCGAATTCCCCAGTGGTCCAGTAGTCCAAGCGTGCTGCCCTCTGGCAAGTTTCCAGCTCTATGTGCCCTCCTGCGGCCTGGCAGATTCCGGCAGTCGAAATGTCCTGCCCGAGCTTTTTCACATTTTTTGAGGCCGGTTTGGGTCTCCTTCATTCTTCCTTAGCAGCCGAAAAGTGGTTCACTTTTCCCATCACGGTCGAAGTCTGGTCAAACAAGCGCAGCTTCCATGTGCTGAAAGGCATGGTGTTTAAATGCTCTTGGCTTTTTTAAGGAACCTATCACTACTGCCAATGTTTTTCCTCCTGTTGTCCAGGGGGCCTCTCAGCACGCAAGTGGTTTAGGCCGCCTTCCACCGTTTCCCCCCCCCCCACGCGGACGCGTCCTCCGTCCGCCGGTGGCAGGTGGCGACCGTCGAAAGCGCCACCGGTTCATTCCCCACCCCCTTTTCCCCGGACCCCGGACGCACCCCGCACCCTTCCGCCCCCCCCCCTCCCCGCTGCCCCCCACCCCCCCACCCCCTCCCCCCACCCCCCCCCGTTGCCAGGCGATCCAAAGGCGAAGGCGCGGCTTCAGCTTCGTGGAGCTCTTCGCGGGGGTGGGCGGCTTCCGCTTGGCGCTGGAAGCGCTGGGGGGCCGCTGCCTCTTGGCCTCCGAGCTGCACCCCACCGCGCGCGGCTCGGTCGGCGATCGGCGCCCGAAGGAAGGCCACTTTGGGGTCCCCCAGCAATCGGTGCCCTTTCTCACCCTTTGGTTGGATCACCTACCAAAATGGGATCCCATTGGTTTTCACCCACACATGTTCGTGGGAGAGGGAGGGTAGTGGTTTTTTGTCTAGGTCCCCAGCAATTGGTGCCCTTTTCAACCCCTCTTTAAAAAGTTGGGAGCCTTATTCTAACCTCTCCACTGGAGGACCTAGGAAAGCATGCACACAAACGAGTGGACTGGCAAGTTTGGAAGGCCAACAAAAATGGAATTGGCGCCAAAGGAATGCCATGAGAGCCGAGAAGGGTTCAGAAGAAGCCGAGATGGGGAGTGAGAGGGGAAGAAAGTGGGCTGGCAAAAAAATGGAAGGCAAAAAAATGGCATTGGCTGGCATGAAGCGATTTTTCCTGGTTGGTGTTAAAGGGTGTGATTAGCCATGGTTCATATCATCATCAGGAACGTCGCGTTAGTGACCGACCTGTGGTGTTTTGGCTCAAGTTTTGGATCCGGCGCGCCTCGGATGAGCGTCGCCGGGCCCTCACGTCGACCGCCTTCGTGTCGGAGGAGAAAGAGACTTCGGCCCGGGGTAGGTTGGTGGGGATCGCCCGTGCGGTTCATCGTCGATCTAGGTTGCGGGTATCCTTTTCTGGTTTGGTTTGTTTTCCTTTGGTTGTTGTTCTCTGGTGTGTGGGAAACCCTGATCTTTGGGACCGGGGATTGGTTTGCTTTTGGGGAACCTTTCTTTTGTGGCTTGTTTACCCCAACTTACCCATTGCCTGGGCACAGGCTCGTGCCCGAATCACAGGTTATCAGCCGTAGGACTTTCCTACGCGCTTGAGACCATCAACTACAAGCTCCATGTCGACCCCACGATCTCGAAGGAGCGTCGTGGATGAGGAGGCCATCCTAGGTGGCCTCCGCTCAGGTGAGGACCTACCGGACTATGACTACGAGGATTTCGAAGCAGGTTCGACTGGTCAGGACCGCAGGGGTGAAGATCCCGGTAGGGATACACCCAGGAGCCGTGGCAGGTACGCCGACGATGGAGACGATCGTATTTTCCGCCAGGCCACTGATGACGAGCAGACACGAAGGGTTTACTCCGGTAGGAGTGGCTCTGAATCAGGTCACAGGCGTGGACGTTTTGACTTCATCAGCATGGCGATGGACATGGCCCGCCCTCATTCGGATGACCCGGAGGCCATGCCGATTCGACCTCCGAGATCTCTTGTTCCAGGTGAGTCGCAGGTCTCGGATGAGTTTGAGAAAAGGCCGCAGGGACCAGGGACTATGGTTCTGGCTCCGGGAGGTATCCCGGGCCGATCCACTGGTTCTCAAAATCCAGGTCAGTTTGATGAGCACGAGGAGCGGAAATTCACGGACTTCGGATACGATAATCTGTTGAAATCAACCGCAGGTTGGGGCAGTAGCTCAAAGCAGGGATCTGATGCCGGTAGGCCCAACCCTAATACTGCCAAATCTGAGTCTTATGATGGCGAGGGTTACAATTTTGCGGATGAGGAGGAGAGCCATTCGCGCCGAAATGCAGGCAGCCGTGCGACTGCAAGGACTAGTCCCGCCGCTGCCAAGTTTGAGGTCGATGATGATGACGAGTATGCCGCATTTGCGGATCGCCGTGATGAGGAGGAGGACCAACCACGACGAAATGCTAGGATCCGTGATGCTGCGAGGCCCAGGAGCCTCTCTCGTGGAGCCGCCAGGGACCTTCGCGTTGACAGGGATGCCCGAAGCGAGAGAGAGAGAGCCAGGGACAGTCGGGAAGTTCTTCGGGGATTGGAGGCCATCCATGACCGTGAGGGACCGGTAGGTCCCCCGGCGATTGGTGATACCCCGAATGTTCCCCCTTTTCCCAACATTACGTTTGGAGGTCCGTTAAATCAGAGAGACGTGAACTCGAACCGGGTTACTGGTTCGCCGAGAGTCACTGAGCGGGTTGCCGATGTCGTTGGGAGAGGTGCAAGAGATGGCCGGCTTGCCGATGCACTCGGAATCGAGGATCGTCCGTCGATCGCTAGCCCGTTAGGGCGAGATACCAGTGACCTTGAAACGCTAAGGTCCAGCAACGAGTTCACACCTCAATGGGGCTCGACCGCCAGGGAACGTAGTGCTTCTGCGAAGAGACCGTCACCCCTGGCCATTGAGACCGATAGGTCGAAGGCGAGGAGGGCTAGCCCCTCACCAATGGACTCAACTCCGCAGGATGAGGAGATGCCTGATCCTGCTGATGTTCACATCCACTCTACTCCCGAGTCTCGTGCGTCCCATGTTGATCCCCGTTCCGGCGATAGCCGTAGAAGGGGTTCTACCCCTAGCAGGCCATCTGGGGCTGGTGATAGTCCTGTGGATGACCCCAGAAGATATGCTAGAGCTAGTGGGGCTCCTGAGAGGATCGAGATATCGACTCCTCCAGCACTCAGGTCTCATTCTTCCGGTGAATCAGGTGACGCTAGGGCAAAGGAGGTGTTCGATTTGCACATCCAGGAGATGCTCGAGAGAGGTGAGGTTTCTGGCTCAGTCGCGAAAGCGTTCCATATTTTTGCTGACCAGATCAGGTTACTGAACGGTCAAGTGAGTTCCATGAGAAGGGAATGGAGCGACGAGAATCAACAGACGAAGTACAAGGTCGATCGACTGGCAGCTGAGGTTGCGACTCAATCTGATGCCGGGAGGATGCGAATGATAGTTCAACGGTTCGCAAGGGAAGTTATTCCCGATAGCAGGGCCATTGTGAGGCAAGCCATCGATGAGCAAGCCGAGGTCGTGGAGCAGAGGATTAACCTACTGTCCCACGAGGTCCATGAATCTGTCAAGGACAATGAGGCATCGACTGATCGGCTTCGCCTGATGATTCAGGAGAATAGTGAGGCTGCCCGCAGAAGCCATGCTGCTTCTGAGGACGAGATCCTTAAGGATTTGGACAAGCTTGAGAAACGGATGTTCTCGGTAGAGAAAACCGTTGGGATGCGGACACCAGCAGGTGTATGGAACCCGAATCCTGTCGCGCATCCGTCCGATAGGGCCAGCGGCAGTGTAGTGGATGCAAATTTCAGGGAGTTAAACCTGAAGATCGAGAAAGCTCTCCTTGAACACGAGACATTTGCCAAGTGGGCCTCTGAATCTATTGAAGGGATCAAAGAAGAGCACACTCGTCTTGTTAATCGAGTATCGAGACTGCAGAGTGGAAGGGGTTCTCAGGAGGTCGATAGACCATCAGAACATGATTCCCCGCAGGACTGGCATGAGGCTATTGATGAGATCAATCGGAAGATGCAGGATCTGGCTCGAGGAATTCAACGTCAACGTCGGGATCATGACGACATCATTTCAAGGTTTGAGACCGTGAAGTCACATGTTGAACAGTATGAAGCGAGATCGGCAATTGTGAATCGGGTCGTTGATGGCATCCAAGGACAGATCCGTAATCTTCCTGCAAGCAGTGACCAAGTGCAGCCTGCCGTTAGGCGAGAACTCGGCACATTCCGGAGTACACTTGAAGGTGTTATGCGGAGAGTCAGCGCTATCGATGGCAACGTGCGTAACCTTAGCGCCGCGAACAACAGAATCATGTCCCAGCTCTTTGAGATGGAGGGTCAATTTGACGAGGCTGCTGGCATTATTCAGGGTGTCCAGCAGATTAATGAAGCTCCTCCTACCATGCATTTGCGGGGCAAGGACATAGGATCAGGTCACCGACGCCTACACCAGGGGAAGGTGACGGCCGGGGTACTGGCCTGCCGGTGAGACCAGGCGGAGGCGTTGTTTTGCCTGATCATGTTTTGCCGAATGTGCCCGATAGGGTCGATCCTTCTCGCGCAGACAGGCATCCCATCTATCCCGTTAGGGAGAGGTCCGACAGCAGGAGCAGGAGGGTTCGGGGGTTGCCTGACAGGTCGCATTCGCCACCGGAGCGTGCAAGGGGTGGTCCCCGCGCGCGCGCAAGGGGGGACGTTTCTATTTCCCCCAATAGGGATGCGGGTAGGAATAGGAGCCCGAGGCCTGCTGCCGTCCCCGATAGGGGATCTGAGGTCCGGAGTCGACAATCGAGGGGGGAGAGGCCGATCCGCGATAGCGGGAGCGTCTCTCCGAGTTTTGATAGGCCAATCCGCGATAGCGGGAACGTCTCTCCGAACCCAGGTCGTCATTCAGGAGGTGGTGGGGGTAATAGGGTTCATGCCGACATCCAGAGTCCTGGTGATGAGTGGAGGACTCCTGGGAGTAGAGCCAGCGCCGACACCCAGAGTCCCGGCGATAGGCGAGGGACCGCTGGAGATCCGTCGGATCGTGGACAGGCCTCAGCGCCGGCTGCAAGAGGGGCTCCCGGCGGCGATGGCCCAGACGCGCCAAAGATTTGTGCCCTCGATGATCCCAACGACCGTAGGCACCCGAACGCTGAATTCTCGTGTGTGACATGCAGTCGTGAGTTCTGCGGGCTTTGCCGTGGTGACGACGGGGACTGTTACAATTGTCAGTTCTTGAAAATGAAATGCTGGGCATGTCGCAAGAATGCTCAGGAGGTCTCCATGCATTTCTGCACGGATTGTGGGACTCACGTCTGTGAGAATCACAGCTACTTTGGAAGTGACGGCCTTGAGCGATGTGCGCGCTGCAATATTCGGCAAGAGCGCGCGCAAGCTGGACCGCCCCCTCCTCCTCCTCCTCCCGGGGGAGGTGGTGGGCAAGGCGGACCACCTGGTCAAGGTGGGAGCGGAAGTGGTGGTCATGGACATGCCCCAGCTCCACCACCAGGTCCTGGGCATTATGGTGGAGGCCAAGGTCCCGCTGGGCCTTCTGGAGGCCCGAATGGAGGGGCTCCTACGGGGGTTACCCTGGTGGAGCGCCCGGGTTCCATGGTAGTGCTGCGGATACTCATGGAATTGGGAACAATCAGTGTGGTTCCAGTTTCTATGGTCCTGCCTACGGAGGTGGCGTTAGTCACCAAGGGGTTGGC